TCTGTGTGCCAACGCTCTAACCACTGAGCCAGATGGGCCAGGGCTGGTTTCTTCATCTTTTAATCAGAGAAAAGAACTGTTGACCTTGCTCTGATTTTAGCAAAAATAAGATCAGTAGAATAGTTCTGGGCTATTTTGGATTTTCCTGGAAAGAAAGAGGGAGAAAAGAAAACCTGATAGAATAAAGTGTATTTGCTATTTTATGGTATTATCTCCATATCCCATAGCAACAAATCTTATGATTTTTTTTTCTTATTTAAACCATATTCATGAAGGCTTTATTGTTAACCTGAGCCAGATGACTGATCAAAGCATAGTTTGTTATTGCCACCTTGCTAAAATATTTTAAAGGCAGTTTTAATATTACACTTTTATAGCTACATATTGCCATTAAGCTATTGAGTCTATTACTAGTCAATCAAGGATTTTCATTTTGTTTTGAGAGCTTCTTGGATACATTCTTCAGAAATGTCAGGGGAGATGGAATAGATAACACCTTTCCACAGATGGTGTTCATCAGGGATTTTAGTGAATGGGGAAAGTTTCAGTTGTCCGTGGATGACTTTTGGTGCTAACAAAAGTATTCTAAAGGCCCCTGCTCCTCCAAAAGCTGGGGGGTAGTAAGGAAATGAACCCTGTCACACCCAGCACCATTCATTATTAATGAGACGACTAGTAACTGGGCAAGTGATGGGGTCTCACTGGATCCATTGTACTAAAGAATGGGCTATTTCTTAAAGAAGACCGACTGTACTTTCCCCACATACCAAAGCTGTACATTTATCTTGCTCTCCCCACTTCCAAGAGCAACAACCAAAAACAAATATACAACATGGAAAGTTGAACTATCACAAGAAGAGTTAACACGCTCAACTGGCACATCATAGACACGAATTGTATCTTTTTCCTTTCATTTGTTCCCAGGTACCCTATACCCTTTCCACTCATTCCTCCATACGTTTCTACATGTATTCGACACACATTTGCTACTACATATACACCTGGCTCTGTGCTAGGTGGTGAGTACAAGGGCGATTCAGACACTGTTTCCCTCGAGAGATGTGCAGCCCGGTGGTGGAGAAAGCGCATGAGTATTTGCCATGCACCGGGGTAGGGCTGGATGGGAGGGGTGGGGGGCACAGGATTCGGGGGGGCAGTGGGAGAGCACCTGACCCCGTCTGGGGCATGCGAAGGGAGGCGTCGCTGGGAGTGGAGGTGTTGAAGCTAAGACCAGAAGAGCTCATGGGGATGCCTCAGGGAAAGGCAGAGGCTGGAGGGCATGGCAGGCCCCGGGCCAGGGAGAGGGGCGTGAGAGGGGGGCTGAAGAGCGAGCAGCAGTTACCTCCCCGAGCCTGGGAGCTTTGGAGGAGCTGCCCTCTTTTCCTGGGGGCCACGGGGAGCCTCTGGGGAACAGGAAGCCAGGGAGTCACTGGGTCTGATGTCACTCTGGCGACAGACTGTGTTCAGTGGGAGCCAGGAGCACAGGGAGAGCTCTTAGGGTCCGGTGGCCCTAGAGAAATAAGGTGGTGCCTGGAAGGAAAGGGAAGTAGAGAATGAAATCTGATTAGATTCCTCTCAGCGGTCATGACATAGCACAGTGAAACCAATATAACACAGGCAAAAGCGAAAGCGTCAGGTCAGCCATTTGGTAGACACGGAAAAGGAAATAAAAATGGGATTCAGTGAATTGCTAAATGAGCCCAGGAGTTCCCAAGGGCCGTGCAGTGGGAAGGTATCCCTCTCCAGCTCCAGGGAGTCTTATTCATGGCTTCCTAGCCTTGCAGACCATTCTTGGTGTGTTAAGAAACCAGTACAGTTGGGTAGTGATGAGAATACACAGTGTAGATTTAAACAATAAGAATAAGAAGAATAATAGAGATTCATTTTCAATCTGACAAACAAGCAGGATTGGTCAACTTTTCTCATAGAAGGGAAAACTAGCAACCAGCCTGTAAGCAATTGGTCGCAGTTTAGGGGCTGTGTTACAAGCAAGATAAATAAAAGTAGTCTAGAGTATCAGGCCAAACTCTCATTTTTCATCTCGGTTTCACACTCTTCTCTTCCAGCCCAGACTAATCAAAAGAAGCCCCTTCCGCTCACAATTGCTCTGTGTACATTTCCCCCAGATCTGGTATTCACATGAACAACGTGGTTTATTTATATTTCAGCACCAAATTGGAAAGATGACATCATTCATTTACAGTCTTTATCCCATGACATGCCTACTCTCCAACACCTCATTTCAGCAGACACATTTAGGACTGCATATAGCATCTTGTTTAGCTTGTACATTCTTTTATGGGATATAGTTCAAAGGTAGGAAACTTTAGGCTTGTCACTGGTAAGAAAATAATCTCATAAAATCACAGGAGCTTCCCCAAAGGAGAAGAACAGTATGATATTTACAATAGCAGTTATTATTTGTTCATTCGGGCCCCATCGCTCATTCTTGGGCAAGTCCCTTTCTTATTGACTGTAGCGGATCTTACGGCTCCCTTTAGGCCCCTGGAATTCTATTAGAAGACACAATTCCAGATTTATTAGTTCACAGGTTCAAAAGTACAGGCTCCTCACGATCCTGGAGTTGTAGGTGTGAATGCTGAATTTCAGTCTCCTGCACGAGGGCAGGCCAAGTGAGGGAGGTCTCGGTCCTCGGTCGGCAACAGCCCCACGCGCTTCTCACAAGACGTCGTAACTTGTCCGCTGGGTCTGCTGATGCTCCAAGTGGGTGAGTGAAGGATGGAGACGGTGTCAGCTGCCAGAGGTTGCCTGGGATTTTTAATTTAATTGTTAGGCGGATCTTTCCCTCTAATTTTATTGATTTCATCCATATAATGCGTGTTTTTACATCTACTCTGGGGCAGTTCAAATATTGTACACATTTTAAAAACAAAATGAGTGAATCACGAGACATTCTTTGGCAGGTAGAATTGGGATGTGAGGTGTTTCAAACACCGAACAGAATCGAAGCATTTATGGGAAAGCTGTTTCTACCTGTTCAGCTGCTTGCCGTCTTGGCTAGCCGCAGGGCAGAGAGCAAAGCCTGCTGGTGAGGAACGGGAAGACCCAGAGAGCCTCTGTGTTCCACGGCAGGAAAGAGGCTCTGGGGGCTGAAATCTACGCCCTGATTTTCCAGCTGCCAATGGCGATAGTAATAATTTGTCCTGGGAAAGTTTTGAGGATAAGTTAGATTGTGCATGAAAAATACTCCAACAATGCACTGTGTGAGGTCCAGACTTATTATCAGAGTATTACTTATATCACATAATAAAATTCCAACTGGTTGGAGGCTCTGCCAGCCCCTGACTTGCAGCTCCCTGGCAGTGATGAGGGCTCGTTGTCATCTCAAGCTACCAGTGAGATTGTTATGACGATGCCTGAAACGGCCTCAACTCTCGGTGACCTCCTCTGGCTGGAAAGACGTGCAGTTTGCCTCTGGAGTGGCAGGATCCCTCCAAATCACGGCCCCTTCTAGCCTTCCGCCGCTCGTTGCGGCCACGCGCACAGGCTGTCCGCAGTGGCCAGGCCCCGCGGTGGTTCTGGGGAGAGGCAGGTGAAAGAAATAGCCTCGACCTCCTGACAGATGGACAGGTCAATCCATGGTCACAGTGGTGGTGAGTAGGAGGCGCACATTGCCAGGCCTCGGTGCTGGGGTCAGGAATAGGCTGTGAATTAGCCAGACACAGAAGTTGGAGGTGAGGGAAGCTGGCTGGGGGAGGTGTCTCAGGCTAGGGAATCTGGGGATCAGGTAGGAGAAGTGTCTTACAGTAAACAACAACAATAGTAGTAATAACAGCACTTGATCTTTATTGCAAGTCCACCCTATGCCAGGTTTATCATAGGGAGGGAGGCACTGTTACTCCCATTTTAGGCGGAAATTCAAGCTTAGAAACAGTTAATTCAAATAACCAGCTAAGAGTGGAGCAGAACTTGAATCCAGACAGTCTTAACTCTAAATCCACCTCTGTAGGCTTTCTGGGCTGGATTTCCCTTTATTGATTTTAGAGAGAGAGGAAGGGAAAGGGAGAGAGAGATAGAAACATCGATGAAAAAACACCTACTGGCTGCGTCCTGCATGCCCCCCACTGGGAATTGGGCCCACAACCTGGGCATGTGCCCTGACCGGGAATCGAACCGGCGACCTCTTGGTGAATGGGTCGACACTCAACCACTGAGCCACACTGGCCAGCTGGACTGGATATTTTTATTTGCCTTTTCCACGGTCTTTAGAAGTTTTTCTAGAATCTGTGACCCCGTTAGGTCAGTTCATTGCTGGTATGTTATTGGCCTGCATAATAAAACAATACAATAAAACAATACAATAAAACAATTCTATGGCCCAGAAGGTTTAACTAAGACACCTGGTTGCCTCCTGTGACAGAGTGGGGAATAAATTAGAGTGGTCAGCTCTTCTCCATCGACTGTGCTGTTTTAGCTCAATTTCCCTCAAAAAACTCTATTGAGTGCTCCTCCGCTACAAGCCATCATGGGACAAAGCATCTCCATTAGTGGTTTGCATCTGGCTGCTCCCCAGTGGATTTCTCTGCCTCATCTTGCAAGACCTGTGTTTGTCTGTGGCTCTGTCTCCACCCAGTCCGTTCCATCTGTTCACCCAGGGTTTCTTCCTTCTCCTGCTTGCTCTGGAGCCTAGGATGTGATCGTGGGCGGTCTGTGACGGCAAGCTCACTCTGGGTCTCTGTGATGGCTCCATAACGAAAAGCAAAGCCCCTTCAGAGGCGTCCGTTCTTCCCCCTTTCAATCGTGTGGGAGAAGTATGCTTACACCTACACATGCAGACCCAAGGCCGCGGCCGCTTCGAGGGTGTGGCGAAGCCCTTTCGCCCAAGCGGGCACATTCCTTTCCAAACTCCCGTTTGACTAAAAGGCAAACTTCTGGATCGGGAACAAAGGGAGCCCTCTAGGCGCTTTCACGATGCCCTGAGTGTCTTTGGCTGGTCTTCTAGCTCCTGATGGAAACTTCCCTGGCTTTTGTTCGCACAGACCCAGAACAGGATGAAGCTGATGGCGGACAACTACGATGAGGACCACCACCACTACCACCACCACCACCACCACCACCGCCACCGGTCTCCCGGGAGGTCGCAGCATTCCAATCACAGGCCCTCTCCCGACCAGGTCAGCTCCATTGCCGCTCACCTCCAGGACCCCTTTTCCCCTTGGGGTATTTTAAGATAAAATAAATAATCCTCAAGAAATAATAAACAGCATAAAGTGATACGTTCTTTGAACTGAAACTAATAGCTTTGGTATTTATTTCCATCACTCAAGGAATCTAAATGTTTTCCTTTCTCCTTCCTCTTTAAGGTTTTGTCTGTTCTTGTTTATGTTATGCATTTTCTTTCTTCCCCTTCTTTCTTCTTTCTTAGATGCGTTGTCTACTGCTGGCTCGGTATCTAATGGTGGGTTACTTTGGAATGCCTTTTGCAGAGTTGTAAGAGAAAGCATTTTGTCTCCATGAGTTTGGCAATCAGAGGCCTTGAGTGTGCTGACTACTTTCCTAGAAAATTCCAGAGTGATGCAAATTAACGATGGGGTAAAACAACAGGAAGGAAATCAGTTTTGCTTGCGTTTCATCCAGTGAAGTCAAGGGGCCTGGTCTCTGTGATTGGACCCCACCTTCTCCCTTGACCAAGTGAAGCAAATGAAAAGATGGATTGATGAAAACAAAATCTCCTGTGATTTTTAACTGTTTTGCATCCACCCATCAAATGCAAAAACTATTTACAGCAGTTAGTATTAAAACTCTTGAAGGTGACTTTCACGGATGTTGTTACTTTTAGTTGCAAACCAGCAGGATGATACAGTCGATGTTGGCAGTATTTTCGCCTTGATTTTACGGTGACCTTTCTTTAGGATCCTCGTGTAACTCAGTGCACTTCGAGAGGAATGGAGACATGGGTAATGGAACAGAACCGTCTGCATAGTGTGGATGCCTTTTTTATGTGTTTCTGAATATGTGAGGGGGGGCTTGTTGGAATGACCTGTGTGAAGAGGGTTTTAAGTGTTTGTTGGAGGAAGGGGTGCTCAATATGTTCCCAAAGCTTTTTTTTCAGATGGCTCTGTCTCCTTCTCACTTCATATCACTAGCATCCCAAAGGAGAAGATTCCCAGTCTCCAAGACATTTTACCAGGAGCACAACTCCAGGGGGAGCATTTGTATAGTACACAACATGAAAAGGGCTCCCTGGAGCTTGCCGTGAGGTAGCTCCAACCAGGAGGTCCGCTGCCCCACCCCCAGCTTGGCCTCACCCTTGTCCTGGGAAACACTTGCCCTCAGACACCTCAATGCTGCGGAAGTTGATCACACACGGGACATGTTAGTTTCTAAGGCCAAGTACAGAAAGGCACCAGTTCATGTCATTTGCTAAAAATGGTTCTCAGTTTGGAGATCAGCAGAGTGCAGAGGGAGATTATTTTTGTGTCATGATCCTGTATGACTGTGGTTTTAGTTTGATTTGTTTTTATTTATTCAATTCTCATCCCTCCTGACCACCGTGCCCCCTCTCCCCCGCCCCTGCCCCAGTATAACTGGCATCCTGCTAACCAGATCTTTTCGTTCCCATTCTTGGTCCCTATCCTTTGCTGCTTAACCTTCTCCCATGAGGGGTGAGTGTGAGGTTTCATTGGTGCCAGGAAGCCACCCTGGGCTTCCCCTGAGAGAGGCAGGGACAGAAAGCACCGGAGAGGCAGAAAGAAGGGTCCCGAGCCAAACTGGGGGAGTGGATCCCACAAAGACCCGGTGGGATGGCAAGCAGGCTTGTTTCGTCACGGAGACATGTACGCTAATAATGTCCCACTACCAACAGGGCACCAGCTCAGTGTATCTGCCTTGTGAATGATATTTCTTGTAAAAGCTTGTCTCTTACTACTTTTCCAGAGGTCTTTAGTCATAAGCTAGAGTACTTGCCTGCTAGGTAGACTCTCTCATGTTTGTCCACCAACATGAGGGGTCATCACGGGGCAGAGATTATGGTTTAGGGGTGCCCCTGCCAGAGGGCCAGCCTCCGTGAGGAGTGTCTGGCTAAGGGGCATCGTCAGGACCTCTGGCCCACCATTCTCCCTGCCTCCCCTCGGAAGATGGAGATGCCCTTCCGCTTCCACACTCTTCATTTCAGTGACCGCTCCACACCGCCCACGGACCCGGAGGCAGCCTCAGCCTCTGCAGATGCGAAGTCCAGGGCCTGGGGCGGCGGGGGCCTGGGGGCGGTGGGGGCTGACCAGGGCCCTGCTGCTGGCTGCTCGCTCTACCGGTACCTGGAGCACGCGCTCCATGCCGGCCACTGTGCTGAGCTTGGGGAAGGACCAGACGGATGAAACGGAACTCGCCTCCAGGGTTTGCTATCTAGTCCTAGGACACAGATTCAGGCCATCGACATCTCATTTAATTCTTGTCTGGGTCATGTCCATCAGGTCATGACAGACAAAAGGAAGTTATAACTTAACTAGGGGCCCACGACTTAGGAGGTTACTCTGCAGTGGGTTCACCACGAAAGTGACATACCCTTGGCCAGAAGGATAGTTCTGTGGTTTTCAAAGGGAGTCAGCGAAGCTACAAGGCTGCCTGGTTAACCCTTTCAGCTAGACAAGGAGAGCAAAGCAAGGACCTGGTGTGCGGAGGCTGACTCCAGCCACAGTGATGCCCCTTGGTGACTAGCTGCCCCGGGTCTAGGGACATGGTGCTCGCCCCGGGCTGGAGATTTGAGCTTCCTCATCACCAACAACTCATAGCAATATATGCACTATCATAAATCCAAGTCCCAGAGTGGAACAGTCTTGACAGGCTCAGAAGTCTGTCCCAACTGATTACAAACTCGACACAGAATTGTGTGAGCAGATACACTAAGCATGGAGCAGGGTGACTTCTCAGGAGAAAGTGACAGCCTGTGTCAGTGTGCAACAACATTGGGGTCTAAATAGCAGACGATTTGGATGAGATTTGAACTAAATGTCTATACTGTACCCATGTGAACGGAGTGACTCAAAGGGAGATGTCATTTCTAGGGTCCCCGATTCCGTTCCCATTGGTCTTCCCAGCTTTCCTGTGGCCCTGAGGGGTGACCCACCTTGTCTTCTGGACAAGGGCCTGCAGATATTGACATTGTCCCCTGAGAGATCAGAACATGAAAATGAAGAACTGTGAAAAGTCAGTCACCTTGCTACTTTTGCCGAGAAACCCATTTTTCCTTAGGAAGTTCAATTTAAGTATTGCCAGGTTTGCAGAATCAGATCCTTTTCCCATTTCTTCTCTGTCTCTCTCTCCTTTGCTATGATTTTCTTTCTCCTCAGGAGAAACTGAATCCAAGGGTTATAAGTCTAGACTAACATTTACCAAAGTAACTTTTGGAACATTAGTCCCATGAGGAAAGTCTTGCAACAAAGATTCAGTGGGCAAAGGATTTTGGGAAAGAGCTGCGTATTATAACTCAATCTTGGAGAATCTTGGTGCAATTAGCAGATCAAAGGATCGAAAAAGTCATATAAGAAAGAAAGCTCTCCAATTTTATTTAATCCAGCATTTCCCAGATTTATTTGATCATAGAATCTTTTTTTCTTTTCTTTTCTAGTAACATCTGTGCGCTGAGAAATACTGTTCTCAGAGTATCAGGTGAAGAAGGAGACTATCCAGTTTAAAACATGGCTGATCTAGTTTCCAGTAATGTTTTTCATCTTCAGGTGGGGTTTTGAAGCAATTTCCCCTGTGTTTGGCACAGCAGAAAATGAGAGTGCCCCTTTCATTTACTTCCTGGGACACCTTTTTAAAAGGTATAACATCTGAACATGTATTATTTCACCCAAAACCCAATAGGTTTGAACTAAGGGGGCCGTTATAAGGATGAGGACCCAGGAAAGCAAGGATAATCATAAGCAGGCAGCCCCTGAGGGACTGAAATGAGTGTGATGCGGGGAAGGGAGGATTTGGAGAATACGTAAGAGAAATCAGAGGACTGTGACAGTCCAGCAGCCGAGAAAGGAGCAGTCACACAGTGGTGCCCTGTGACCCCCAGGATGGCCACAGCCATTGACCATGTCCAAGCAGAACATTTAGACAAACCCCAGGAATGCCTGTAGGAAATCCTTCAGACCAGGGAGTGGGCACAGGGCAGACAACAAATATTCCCCATGACAAGCTGCCGGTGAGCCTTGAGAAACAATGAAGACCAGCGAATTCATAGAACATGCTGGAGACACATTCGTGATTTTAGAAAAGCTCAGTGGAAACTCAGCTCCTCCTTACTGCCCTCTGTTCCTCGTCACCGCATCTCCTGCTGTTTTCTTTGAGTTGTACTTTTCCTTGCCTCATCTCGGTGTCACGTCTTCTGACTTTCCTTTTTCCAGGCGTCGTATGATTTTTCTTGTCCCGGGGAAAGCCATATTTTATTAACCTCCTTCCAGTGGCGCCCTGGATGAACTAACCCCATAGATAAGAAAAACACCATCAGAGTGAGCCCCTCTCCAGCCCACTCACAATGCCAGGCCTTGTTCAGCAGCCCTTTCTGTGCCTGGGCCTTAGGTTGGGTGTTGGGCCTTTTAAGGGCCTGGATCTCAGTGCCTTTTTTTTTTTTTTTAAACTCACTTCCATTTGTTAAAGCATTTGCCACTGTGATTCTAACGTGTAGGGGCCTAAATGGCAAAGAACCTAAACATTTTTGGCTGGAAATCCCAGAGTAGGTGGCTACTCACCTCTCCCCTTTCTCCCTCCTTTGAATGAAACGCTCGCTCACGGGCACTGGGGAGCTCAAGAGATTTTTCACTACTGTGAAGACTTTTAGATTTCATTGAAAGGTTAAATTTCGCAATGTACTTCCAGAAATCCTACTTCTAAAGAAGAGCTAAAGCCTAGGAGCATGGAGGTGTTCTATGAATTAAATTGATCATGGAAAAATTTGGTTGAATTTTATGTGTTATTCATACTTTTTCATATTGCAAAGCACATTCACACCTGTCTGGCCTGTAAAAGGCACCCCATAAATGTCCGTTGAGTGAGCTCTTCCCGCGGCACCTCTGGGAACTAGAAAGGGCAGGTAGAAGTGTCTCCATGGTGAAAAGGAAAAGATCTCCAGGTAAAGAAACTGGAGCTCAGAGGGGTTGCTGGCTATCCAGAGCCCCGTCCCTGA